TCAGATATTTGGAGAAATGTAGCATTGCATCAGTGTCTCAGCAATGGATGCTCTGCAGTGAATGGGTGCCGTCAGAATGAGAGTCCAAACATCTGATAAAAACATCACAATAATCCACAAGTAATCCACAGCACTTCAGTCCATTTTAGAGAAGATAAAAGCTGAAACAAATCCATCAAGACATTTTTAACTTCAAACCATTGCTCTTGGCTAAAATACAAGACCTTTATTCAAGATTTTGCTTTCTCCAGTTATCTGGTCTGAATCAGGAGAGAAATCTGCACAGATCAAGCAGTGTTTACAAGCCAAAACAGCTCTAAACAAATATGTGTGTGGGTTTAAAGTAAAAAAAAAAATTTTTTCTTAAAAATACAGTTTTCACTTCTCAAATTGTTAACTGATGGACTGGAGTGGTGTGGATTATTGTGATGTTTTTATCAGATGTTTGGACTCTATTCTGACGGCACCCATTCACTGGTGAGCAAGTGATGTAATGCTACATTTCTCCAAATCTGATGATGATGACAAACTCATCTGCATCTGAGGCCAAATGATTTGTAATATATGTTTGTTTTTTTTAACCTAATTTTTACTTAGTGGGACCTGAATATCAATATTTGGGTGTCCTAAAGTTTGTTTAGCCAATATGTGAACAATGTCATTACCCTCCACTCCCACTACAGCTGTGTAACCTGATGTTGGATCCGTCTTGAAGCATCTGTAAATATGTGAGGAATTGAATGGAAAAATATGCCAGATCTAAATATTGCTAAAGAACAATGATTGTTATATTGTTATTGTTAACATTTAATCTTTACTTTTTCCTGCAGCTGACCATCAAATTATAACAGGATTTTTTGATTTTTCTGTAACATCAATGGGATTAACTGTATTGTCCATATTGATCATCCCTGGAAGCAGTTCAGCTTCTATTCCCAAAACTCTTTTACATGCTAGGACTCAAGGTTTCCCAGCAGAACACTGTCCAGACCATAACACTGCCTCCTCCACATTCTTACATTGTTCACATGAGCATCAGAACTAGACCATGGAGCATTGTAGGTGCTTTCGGTGGTGGACAGGGGTCATCGTGGGCACTCTGACAGGTCTGCGATGCACCTTTCTATCATGACCAGCATTATGTTTTTCAGTGATTTGTGCGACCAGGGATGCAAACAGGTAAGGAGGAAAAAGGTGAGAACATTGCTCGGATCGGGGGCATGCTCCACACGGAATTTCTTTACAAATGAGCATGTAAAGCAAATATATTTTAGTTACTTTAAGGTATTTTTTCTATATTTTTTTATTACCTTATATGTCAAAAAAACTGTAATTTTACACACACCCTCCCTTTTTTGTAACATCTTGTTGCAACAATTTACAAAAATCAAGATTGAATATATTTGGTCAAAATCCCATGTTATAAAAGATGAAGTGCTATGCAAGCTATTTAAGACAATATTGGCTGATTAGACAGCAATGCTGACCTCAAATGCAAAATGTTTGCCCTCTCTCTCTTTACCGTTCCCACATCTCAGACCTCAAATACAATTTAAAGAAAATACAATACAAAACTTATTGAAAGAACAGTTCTTTATTTTCCCTTGCAAGAACCCCCCTCCCCTCCTCATTGGATCTAAGCAAATCTCATAGGTAACCTATTTTGATCTCAAAAAGGTGAGTTGTCACTGAAAGGTGAGGAGTGTGCATCTATGGCTACAGTAGCTCTTCTGTGTGATCGGAGCGGACTAGCTTTTGCTCCACGGGCCTCATTTATAAAATGTTGCGAAGAAACCATCCTCAATTTGATATTACGATCATCTCTCAAATATGCGTACGTGAACTTGCGCGCAACTGAATGGTTTCAGCTCTCTGCCTTGTAAATGACTCCTAATTAATGTCATTAACATACAAATCAGCGAGCTGCAAGAACAGCTTACATTTTCAAAAACCTGCAGTACTCAGTCAAGAAAAAGTGTGTACATCTGCTCAAACCCTGATGTGACGCTAAGCACTTTTCCACGTCAAAGACAGTTTTTACAAATATGAGCGCTGGCATGGATTTAAGTGTACACACACTGTAAGATCAAATCTGAGCATACACACGCTTTATAAATGAGGCCCACCTTTGTGCATCAGCGAGCTTTGGCGCCCTATGACCCTGATTCTGACTCTGGTTCACTGCTTGTTCTTTCTTGCACCTCTTTTGGTGGCTACTAACCACAGCATACTAGGATCACCCCACAACACTTGCTGTTTCAGAGATGCTCTGACCCAGCCATCTAGCCATCACTATTTTTGGCCATAATCAAAAAGTCACTCAGATTTTTTTGCTGGCCATTTTGTTGTTTCCAACATGAAATTCAGGAACTGACTGTCACTTGCTGCCTAATATATTTACATTTACATTTAATCATTTAGCAAACGCTTTTATCCAAAGCGACTTACAAATGAGGAGAACAATAGAAGCAATCAGACCAATGAGAGAGCAACAGTATACAAGTGCTGTGACAAGTCTCAGTTAGTCTAGCACAGTACATATAGCTAAGGTTTTTTTTAATAGAATGGAATAGAATAGAATAGAATAGGTAAGTGCTAGTATTAGTTCGTCAAGTGCTGGCGAAAAAGATGTCTTTAGACATTTTTTGAAAATGGCGAATTGAGATCAGGAGGTCATTCCACCATCTGGGCACAGTCAAGGAAAAGGTCAGTGAGAGTGATTTTGTGCCTCTTTGGGATGGCACCACAAGGCACCATTCACTTGCAAAACGCAAGCTTCTGGAGGGCGCATAAGTTTGAACTAGTGAGTTTAGGTATATTGGTGCAGCACCAGTTTTTGTCTTGTAGGCAAATATCAGCCTTGAATTTGATGCGAGCAGCTACTGGTAGCCAGTGTAAACTGATGAAAGAGGTGTAACATGAGCTTTTTTCGGCTTGTTAAAGACCACTCTCGCTGCTGCATTCTGGATAAGTTGCAGAGGCTTGATAGCTGTGAAGCTTAACTGATCATCGATCACAACTCCTAGGTTTCTGGCTGTCCTGGAAGGAGTTGAACCCAGCTGTATAGAGAAGTTGTGATGAAGTGCTGGGTTGGCTGAGACCACGAGCAGTTCTGTCTTAGCAAGGTTGAGTTGAAGGTGATAATCCTTCATCTAGCCAGAAATGTCTGTCAGACAGTCTGCAATGCGAACAGCTACTGTCGGATCATCTGGTTGGAATGAGAAGTAGAGTTGAGTGTCATCAGCATAGCAATGACAGGAAAAGCCATGCTTCTGAATGACAGATCCTAAAGATGACATGTAGATGGAGAAGAGAAGTGGTCCAAGCACTGAGCCTTGAGGAACCCCAGTAGCAAGAAGTTGTGACTTGGAAACCTCACCCCTCCATGACACCCTGAAGGACCTACCTGAGAGGTAAGACTTGAACCACAGGAGTGCGGTTCCTGAGATGCCCATCTTCATGAGGGTGATCCAGCAAGATGAGTACTGAGGATTTGGAAGCTGCTCTTGCCAGTCTCAGGGCTTCAGTAACCGAGAGCAGTGCAGTCTCAGTTGAGTGGCCGCTTTTGAAGCCAGATTGGTTGCTGTCCAGGAGGTTGTTCTGTGCAAGAAACATAGAGAGTTGGTTGAACACAACTCGCTCAAGCGTCTTTGCAATGAACGGAAGATCTGTAGTTTTCTAAAAGTGCTGGATTTAGAGAGGGATTCTTAAGCAGTGAGCCTGCTTAAATGCTGTGGGAAATGTACCAGTGTGAAGAGAGGTGTTGATAATGTGAGTAAGCGCAGGTATGACTGAAGAAGAAATGTCCTGAAGTATGTGAGTGGGGATAGGATCAAGTGGACAGGTAGTAGGATGATTGGAACGAATCAGGTTTGTGATGCGGTCCAGTTGGTTACCTGATATACCTAATATATCCCACACCTTGAGAGCTACCACTGTAACAATATAATCAATGCTATTCACTTCACCTGTCAGTGCTTTTAATGTTCTGGCTAATCAGCACACATTATATTTAAGGGGTGACTATGATTATAGCATTGTTTTAAGCTTTCTCTTACATCAATATATCACAAACTCAACAGCTCTCAACATTAGCATTTAAATCACAGCGACCCATAAATGGCACAGACTCATGGAAAAAGGATTTAAACATTAAACATGCTTAGTAGAGGCAAAAATCAAAGTCTTGATATATATAAGCAGATTTGCTTTGTCAAAGTTTCACTATAATACAATGCAAACAACCATCTAAATTATAGCAATAGTTTATTTGCACATGAACTTGAGACAAACCATTGTAACAGAGCATCCTTATGCATTCGAGAGACGTTCTTTTTGCATGAAATGAGTATGTAGCCTTGCAGCTGCTGCAACACTGAATGACAACATTAATTTGTGGTGAGGTTTTAAAATTCTTCAGAATAAAAGCAAACTGTACAAAAAAAAAAAAAAAAAAAACCACACAAACAATTCGTTATGGTAGGCTACTT